ACAGAAAAACATACTCTTCCTAGGCACAGCAGAAAACAGACTGACCCCAGACCATATACAAAAGACTGACGAAACAAAAAATAAGACAATACATCACATGTGCAACGGTCAAAAGGGTAACCCCGTCTCAACATGTGGCAGAAAGTACTGTTGCATCCCTTTGATGCGACGACTAAAAGCCGACAACTGATGGTTCGTCCCGGATTAGTTACGCTTGTCAAATTTTTTATGTGTACCATGCAACAATTTTCCGTCTCCACTAGCTGTAACGTAACATGTTCGGTGTTACGTTACGGTTCATTTGACACACCTTAACCTTATTTTGTTACGTTACGGAATGAATGATACGACCAAAACCACGCAGCGAACCGTGTCACCTTTTGCAACAGGCCGTAACATGTTCGTTGTTACGTTACGGAGCATTGCCACAAGTGGATACCCGCCTTTAAAATAATGTCCTTGAAACATATTTAGCTTTTTTAGTTTACCAGGGGCGGGTTATGCTTTACAACTTAATGCCTACATTTTCAACATCCTGTATGATAAAGACTTTAAAATAATAAACCTGGATAGCTTCTTCCTTAGACTAAAAGATGTACTCTTGTTTATTGTCGATAAAATGATCCGAGAGATTTCTCACATTTTCCCGGACAGTCTGTATAAAAAAGTTAAGGTATTAATTATAAATAATTAGGACGTTTGCATTTTTTCCCCTAGCGTTCCGAAATATATTTGGAACATAGCACTTGATTCGTCGCAGATTTCCCGCGTTGCCGAGGCTCCTGCTGGATTCAGTTCCTGCAACAATCCTCCTGCTGCACTGGAACAGTGTCCTTATCGCCTCCAGCGATCTATGCGCAGGCTCCGCAGGATTGATATTTAGCCGGGCATCATTTTCTGTTGATCCACCCCTAGTAAGCTCGCGGACGCCAAAAACAAACTAAGGCCAAAAATAAGCCGTTCCAGTGTAAGATGATCTCAGAAACCTTCGCTGAAATTGCACACAATAACGCGTCATTCGGATATGAAACAATAATCAAGTTTAAGTTATGCACGTATTTTTAATTTGCGTAGATTTGTGATAAACAGCATACAGTTGCACTATATTATGGTAAGTGACTAGTTGTTCTTCCACTGTGCTTAATAATATCCCGCGATAACGTAAAAAATTAAGGTAGCAGCAAAAGTTAATAAATAGAGTATACATTTTTATTGAGGAAAGTGATCAAGGAAGTCAGTGATCGTTATTGTGTAAACAAACAAACAAATAATTATTGTGAAAGATGTACATTTTCAGACTGATTTATGTGCAGTTATTGATGGATTTAACCATATCTTTTTATAAGTAAAATAACCAAATGCAATAAATTATTTGGGAAGTGACGGTGATTCCCAGAAATGCAGCATGAAATAATGCAAGTACAGTTTAGTTAAACCAGTTTGGTAGTGCAGTTTGTTGAAATTAAAACGAAATGGTATAGAGAAAACTAATCATTGTGTACTATCAACCCCTTAGAAATTGAAGATTAGTTTATAAGAAAAATTTGGCAATTTTAAAACTACATCTTCATTATTTTTTTAAATTGCTTTGAATCACTGTTATTATTAAATTATTTTTTGTGATATAGTACTTATACCAGAAGTAGTTAAAATAATTTGAATTTCTGACAATTAACAAGATTATTCCCTTTTCTCATTTCAGTTGTGATGAACAGCGTACACTTGCCCTATATTATAATGACTAGTTGTTCTTCCGCTGTTCTATGTAAAAAGCTAAAATAGCAGTAAGAATAAATAAACAAATTATTTTATACATTTTTATTGAGGATAGTAATCAGAAGAAGTCAGTGATCGTTCTTGTGGCAACAAACAAATAAAAAACAATTATTGTGAAAGATATATATTGCCAGAATGATTTATATGCATTTATTGTTGGATTTATCCATATCTTTTTCTAAGGAAAATAACCAAATGCAATAAATTATTTATGAAATAAAACTGATTCACAGAATGTGCATAATAGAGAAAAATGCAGCATTAAAAATAAGCTTAGTTCAGCTTAGTTAAGCCAGTGTCCAATTTTTAACAATTTAGTAGTGCATTTTGTTGAAATTAAAACGAATTGATATTGCGAAAACTGTGTACTATCGACCAGTTAGAAATTGAAGACTGGTGTGTAAAGGAAATTTGCTTTAATTTTTGAAATTCTATCTTCCTCTAAATTTTTTTACAATCTCTACTATTAAAGTACATATTTTCTAGTATGTAGTGCTTATATAAAAAGTAGTAATAATAAGTTTCTGACTATTAACAAGATTATTTTTATGACACATTGCAAAATCACTTACCAAATATACCGAGTGTTACAAAAAAATGCGTCAAACCATTAACAACAGATATTTTAAGAGAAAATAATTGCCTTTACTTATCCCATTTTTTATTTAGCCTCTTTTTTGATATACTGGGTGTTGAAGTTACAATTTGAAGAAAAGGATTTATTGATAACCTCATTGTTTTGACGATACCCAGTTGAAATTTTGTATAGACCTTTAATCTATACCCGATTATTTTTTTATAAAATAATTTAATGAGGAAAAATGATTTTAGTATCAATTTACTTCCTATACTTTTTGACACATGCATAGGTATAGTTCGAATGTATTGTTGTTTAGATTCATCAACGTCTTTAAAGCATAAACGTGTATAGTAAAAAAATGGGAACTAATTTTTCTTCGTTCGAGATTTGATTATTTTAACCAAAATTACACAAAATATATACCTACCAGCTTGAAGTAAATATCAAAACTGATACAACGGAATTATTAATAACAGTTTTTTTTATTCTTTCATTACGCCCTTCATCTTGAAAACCCAAGTGAAAAACAATAAAAGTCATATTATTTTCGACAAGAATATTTTGTTAAGGAATTGACCTACTATTTTGTAACACCCTGTACGTGAAGTGGTTTATAACTTTTAAAAAACCATATCTACAAAACAGAAAATATGTGGGTCTAATTCAATTATGAATTTTAATTGTGGAACAGTAAAAAATTTACGACATTAAAAAAAAATAATAAAATGATCAAACTTGATTGTGCTAACCATGAAAATAATTGTTTGACACTTTACGAGATTTTATGTAAAGGATATTAAAATTAAGTCGTTCTGGAAAAGGCATTACCAATGTACAGGCTGGTCCATTTTCGATGGGTTTTCAGGGTATCTCAGAAACTACTAAAGATATGATAAATCTGACACCTCGAGCTCGATTTTCATGGCAAACTCGACTCGATCAGAAATTTGCTATCTTCATTTGTTTCTGAGTTACAGGGCGTTTCTCGTTATTTGTCTGTATCTCAACTGTTAAATAAGTTAGAGTTAAAGTGAAAACTGCTCAAGACTAATTCTTTGGCGTAGAATTGAATGCCGATATTAGATTTTTAGTAGGTCTTAAGATTCAGGAGTTATGACCCAAAGTTATATTTTTTTAATGGAAATCATAGCTGGTCACGACCTAAAAAAAATGGAGATTTTTTTTGCTCGTCAGCAATATATCACATGCTATAGTTATTTTTCCAAACACAGAAGATACGGGGTGTTTTATATATAAATTCGACCTTTTTTTACATTTTAATATGGCTGGCTATGAAAATACATACAAAACTCATATCTGTTGTAAAAATCTGACGTTTATTTAAAATATATATTACAGATAACAAAAGATAGTTTTCAAATTTTTATTCCACTTCAACTGAAGTTACAATATTAAACCTAAATTAAACAATAGTAAATACCTACATTAATAAAAACTTTGATAGCTAAATGTTCAAATTGCCGTCCCTCAACTGTCACACATCTTCTGGCAACGCTTCGGGTAGCATTCATTAAATGTATAGGTATTTGAAATATTATTAAAAAGAATTTTAAATATAATGTCTTTTAGAAAATCCCAAAGGAAAAAGTCCAACGGACTCAAATCAGGTAACCTAGCTAGCCATCTGATCGGTCCGTTTGTTCCTATCCAGGTATCTCCTAAAATTTCGTTAGTATTATATTATCACACGAGTATATGTTGTGCATTTAAAATAAATGTCATATTTTTACAACAGATATGACTTTTGTAAAAGTAAAAATTATAGTTTTATCTGTATTTTCATAGCCGGTCATATTAAAAAGGAAAAATATATAATTTATATATAAAACATACCGTATCTCCCCTGTTTGTAAAAATAACTGTAGCATGTGATATATTGCTGAAAAGCGGAAACAAATCTCTATTTTTCTCTGACCGTGGTCAGTTACGATTTCCATTTAAAAAAATATAACTTTGGGTCATAACTCCGAAATCTTAAGATCTACTAAAAATCTAATACCGGCATTCAATTCTACGCCAAAGAATTAGTCTTGAGCAGTTTTCGCTTTAACTCTAACTTATTTAACTCTGTAACTCAGAAACAAATGAAGATAGCAAATTTCCGATCTGACAATCGAGTTTGCCATTAAAATCGAGCTGAAGAACGTCGTGTCAGATTTATCATATCTTTAGTAGTTTCTGAAATACCCTGAACTCCCATCGAAAATGGACCATCCTGTACATCTTGAAGAAACTACACATATGAAAGATGTTAGTGAGTAAATTAATTAAAGAACCAAAGATTATATCGTATTAAATCACGCATTTCAACCAATTTTTCTTTCCTCTGCTTAGTTATAATCATGGGCAAACTTTAAAAGGTGGAATGTCAACTTTTTTCAGACGAAATGATAATTTTAAGTTTGTTGTTCGTCTCTATTTAACTTACCCTAGAGTAGTCAAAGATCACCCTGAACGCACAAAAAAATAATAAATCAATTTCAAGCCCATTAATTGTAAAATAAAAACTAACAAACCACATCGAATTGAATCATCAACTAGATTTAAACAAGGATTCCTACGCAGATTATGTTCAATACTTTTATGTGTGTATATAAAAATAGTATTTTTTCTTTTGTTCCAGGTTTAAACAATGCAAGAATATTTGTCCCTGACAAATAGAAAATTATGTTTCGTTGGCTTCGTAACATCATGTTTGGTTTTAATAATTTTATATTACGACAACTGCAAGCTAAACTTCGAACTGGTGTTCCCTACAGAGCAAATAGAATATGAAGCAGGTAAGACTAAACTTAATTTCAGAAGTTATTTATTTATGGCATATTTCAGTTGTTTTTTACTTGTTTCTCTGTTTATTTAAGTATTTTTCACCTTCCAAAAAAAAAATTGAATTAAACCCATACGCCAAAAGGATCAGTCAAGGATTGATTTTATGAAACTATTTCCGATTAAAAAACTCACAGAGGAATAATTTACTTAAATAGAAACATCAGTTATAGTTTTGAGAACAAAAAAATAATTTTCGAGTCGGCAAAATAAGTGAACTAAGCCCATTTTCTATTTTTTTGTTATAACAATAACAATAACTTACCTGATTTAATGTCAAAATACACTGAATTCTTGATAAGATATCTCCCATTTTATTCGAGAAATTTAAAATTACTCTAGAATACAAAATATTAACGAAAAAAACTATTGATGAATACATTTTGTATTTCCTAGTCCTAGTGGTAAGCAGGAACATAACCACAAAAAATATAAAAATTCCGACAATGGATTGTATTAAAAATCGTATTTCTAAATTTCAAGAATATTATTGCATGATTGCTATGTATTATTGTATTATTCAAAATACCTGATTACAGATTAATACTACTGTGTATTTACGAGTGTGTATTATACTTAGCGTCTATTATTTATATATCGAGCAAGTAACAGAGAAATACCTACTCAGTGTTAATATTTTGCAGTGCAAATATACAGGGTGTTAGTAAATAAGTGCGACAAATTTTAGGGGGTGATTCTACATGAGAAAATAATGGCAGTTTGCTTATAAACGTATGTCCGCAAATGTTTCGTTTTCCGTGATACGGGGTGTCAAAGTTTTTCTTAAAAACTGACGATTTAATTTATTGCTCTGAAACCGGTCGAGATGTGCAAATGAAATTTGGTGGGTTTTAAGAGGTAGTTATTGCGCATTATTTGACACGCAATTAAGAATTTTATGTTCACCATTGGCAAAAAAATAGGTGCGTTAAGATGTTTTATTTTTTTGCATGAAAACGGCGCCCCATACGAAGAAAAGGCAAGAGAGATTTTTTGACACAAATTGAACGAGGAATTCAAAAATTATTTTTAATTTGTAATATCTAAATGGCGTACCATTTTTTTCTTTAAAAAAATTGAGATTATTACCCGTACGCGCGCCAATGATGAACATAAAATTCTTAATTGCGTGTCAAAAAATGCACAATAACTACCTCTTAAAACCCAGCAAATTTCATTTGCACATCTCGACCGGTTTCAGTTTCTCATGTAGAATCGCCCCCTGAAATTTGTCGCACTTATTTACTAATACCCTGTATTACTATTCTTACGATTTTAGTTATTTACTGTATAAGTGGTTTAGTGCCTGTCGATGCTGCGAATTGATAAATTTGAAAATTAGTGACGTACAGGACGTTAGTAGTTACCTACTTGTTTCAATACCTAACACCAAGACAGACATTTCAAGAAAATTACAAATTATAGAAGAAGGATTTTGCTTGAATGCTGTTGAAATATGCAGAAAATATATTTCTCTGTGCCCAATTCGCCTAATACAAAACGGATTCTTTTTAAAATACATCAATAAAATATGTACTTCTCAGCTTGTACTGGCCAACAACTTTATTGGACAATAAAGGTGCTGATATTACAACCATCAAACGGCATGGTGGATGGAAGAGCTCCTCTGTAGCAGAAAGTTATGTTGAGGAGTCTATGTCTAACAAACTTGGAAAATCCAAGGAAAATATAGCTGTTCCTTACAAGAAGAGACATCTGTAACTTGTGCAAATTATTCACAAGGAAGTTAAATGTGATCAAACAAAAAACGAAATAAATGTAAATGTTAATGTCAATAAGTAAATAAATTAAATTTGATTTATTATAGATTCATTATTTGTTCATTATTCTACTAGTGAAATAAAGTTACTTTATTCCACTAGTGGATAAAGTATTACTTTAGACGGTTCATATTTGTGGATAGAAGTCCTATTATAAGGTGATTGTGGATAAAAATTATTTAATTTGCATACCATTAGATACAAGTCTATACATTTTTGATCACATCTCTTTCAGATTCCAACTTTCTAGTGTCAAATTCGAAATGCAAAATGATGGACCTGGATCCGTTCAACAAAGATGCCAAAAAATTTTTTCGTCCTGAAAAGTACAAGCCCTGCAGAACCCTGGAGTTGCTCAGCTACTTAACAAAGAATGACAATACAGCAACTCTCCATATTGATAAGGAAATAGTTCCGTCCTATTCCAGCGACGGCGTTTCTTGTTGCTACGCCAACGTGACCAGGAAAATTTCTGCATCAAATCCAGACGGCCATATCTCGTAAGTGAAGGCGTTGTTCTTCTGTTTTATGTCTCTTACGTTCTAGATCGTACAGCGGGTTGAAATAATTTAATATTATTTTCGATAAAAGAGTCCAGATTAGAAACAGCATGGAGTTTGCCAATTCATAACTAGAAGTTAATTTTTTTAGTGGCAATATGCAGAAACCTACAAGAATTTAAATAAAATTCTCGAAAACGGCTGCTCCTTTGTATAGCACAGTTCAGTGACATCATCTAACACTCTTTTTAACTAAGACTAAATTTTTGAAATTTAATGAAATAAAGACTTACGCCAAAAGGATGAATCAAGGATTATTTTTATGAAAATAGTTTTGCCCAACTAAAAAGCCAGACAAATACAAAATACAAAAAAAAAACACATTATTATACATCGGGCATTTTAAAAAGTTGTGAATGTTTCGAAAATCACATTTACACATTTAATTACATCTTTCTTTATATCAATATGATAAGTAACATTATTTTTTTATATTAATTAAATTATCTAGAGTAATGTATTGTTTTCTATTTCCAAAGTATATTTAATTGTTTCTTTGTTATTAATATGTATTGTATAGAAAAATATTTCATTCCTCAGTGGTAAAAATCAAAATTGCAAAAGTATCGGAAATGAAAGTTTTGATAATCCATGCAATTTTATAAAAAAAATTACTAATAAACAATCAGTACCCTGAGAATTTTGATCAAAGAATTTTTAAAAAATAAAACAAATTCTGTCGACAACGAAGGGAAATTACGTACAAAATTCCATATACAGAGTGTTTCCTAAGTACGGTCCGTAACTTCAGGACACAATTTCTTATGGTATTTAAAGAAAAATAGTTCCTATAAACATGTGGCCAGAAACGCTTAGATGCAAGGTGTTGAAAACTTAAAACATATATTAATTAATATTACTTTATACATTTTTAGTATAAAGTAAATTTTTTTATCTGTCGCCAGTGGCGTACTTAGGCGTGAGTCATAAAATGTAGAACGTCAATTGATTTTTTATTATATTCGGACATTTTACAACAAAAAAGGTGTCTTGAATTTTTGAGTATTCTTAGAAAAATGGCCGGCAACTACGAACAACAATCATAGAAATAATCAGTTTCGACACAAAATTAAAGCAGATGTTGAAAATGTCCATTTTGGCTACAAATAATAAAAAATTAAATAACAATAAAATAAACATATTAAAACAAAATACAAAAAAACGAAGAGTCGTAAGTTCGATTCGATTTTCGAAAAGTACGCAATTTTTTTAAGTGCGTGGTATGTAGCGATGCGTATTTTGTAGTGTCTAATTTTTTCAAACCCAATAAATTAAGAAAAAAACGAACACTATGTCAGAAATAAGTAACATCTGTCTAACACCCTGTATGCATTCATTCGAAAAGTGTTCGCTTTTTGGGACACGAAGTGTTAGTCTTACTGAAAATTATTTAAAAAAGTATTAAAAATACAAAAACCATTGTTTTTTCAAAATTTCTGCCCACTACATTAAAAAAGGTCTCATAAATTCGATAATTTCCTCATAAAACGTATTGATTAAAAACGTTTCACGGTTAATAACTGTATCTAATAGTAATTTTACGGCTGTTTCACCATTAAATAACACCGAAATGGTGCAATTTACGAAGCATTTAATAATAAGAGCGTATCAAGCGGATGCCCTTGTTAACGTCAGTGAAAAATATCATTTATATCAGTGACTCACATTAATATCCGGAAATACATATTTTCTTTATTAATGTATTTAAATTATAAGTAATTACGAAAAGTATCTACCAAAAAACAATGGATTCTTATTCTCATGACCATCACGCTCTTGTAAAACAATCGCGTTAGTGCTTTTATTAAACTCATTTGAATAATTGCATTTGTATTTAATATGTATTTTACGTCATATTTTGTAGATATTTAAATTCTGATGAAATATTTTACTACATTATCTTCCAAATTTATACAGGGTAGCCCATCGAAAACGTACCACAAGGCATTACAGGGTCATTTGGCTCAAAAAGCATACCAAATTCTTCAACCCCCTAAGTGGGGGTGCTATCCCCTAAATTTTTTCAAATAGGAATGGGGGTCAAGTGGGGGGTAATTAGAAAGGGCTTTTAATTCTCTATACATCGATTCTTACTTTTTGAAAATCGATTCATTATTTTAGAAAATATGCAGCTTTGAAAATACGAACAATATTTTTGACGAGAAATGCGAAAATCGATTTAATTTTACTTCAAAACTTACGGTATTAGTCAAGTAAATGCTGAAAATGTTGTCCGCCAACTTGCATACAATGATACAGGTTGTCTTCAAACCGTTGTCGAACATTCTGGAGCACTTGCGGTGTTACTTCGCGACATACATTAATGATTCGTCCTCGCAGATCTTCCAAGGTATCAGGTGGAGTGCTGTAAACTTTGCTTTTAATGTGCCCCCAGAGAAAGAAATCTAAAGGATTTAAGTCGGGTGACCGAGGGGGCCACTCAATTGCACCTCTTCGTCCTATCCAGCGTCCTGGAAACGTCTCATTTAGGTAATTGCGCACATTGAGCGAGTAATGTGGAGGAGCTCCGTCTTGCTGGAAAATCAGTTCGTGTTCATTGTAAGCAGGGTCGTCCTCTATGATATTTGTTAGAGCTGGGTCGATGACATTTTGTAGTAAATCCAAGTACATATCGCCTGTCAAATTTCCAGGAAGGAAAAAAGGACCTACAATGGAATTTCCAAAAATACCTGCCCATACATTCAACTTCTGGGGGTGTTGGGAGTGTGTCTCATGGAAAATCCTTGGATTGGTATCAGCCCAGTAACGACAATTATGGCGATTCACTAAACCATTCAAGAAGAACGTACACTCGTCCGAAAAACACACATTAAAGAGGAAATTATCGTTTATCGCTCGTTCAGTCATTATTTCGCAAAATTGCAAACGACGATCAAAATCGTCTTCATTTAGCTCTTGCACTAGCCGAATCTTATAAGGATGGAATTTGTATTTTTTTAATATTCGTTGGACACTTGTACGACTCACTCCTGTCGCAGTAGCCAATTGCATTGTACTCAGCGTACTATCCATTGCCACTTGCCCCAATACCGCTATTTCCGTAGGTTCATTTAGTACCGGATTTTCAACCTGCCTCTTTTTGTTATGAACGGAGCCAGTTTCGCGAAATTTGGCCACCAATTCGCGAACAATTTTTCCAGACGCATGTTTCTCAGGATGCCGTTGGTTGAACAGTTCGGCGACCCGATTTCCGCATTCATTGTTTTTGAAAAAAAGCTCAATAATTTCTACTCTTTCTGGAATTGAGTACACCATAATTAATCAATTTAAAAGACTCGGCAGTATTGGTACTCTTCAACTACAAGTCACAAGACAGTTATCTAGCAACTTCTTGTGGCCTATCTAAATACGAAACAAAAAGCGGACAATTTTTTGCTCACCAAAATCAGGCTAAAGAATTCGCAAATCAGAAAAAAAAACAGCGAATTCTTTTGAAGGAATTTACCAAGCTAATACCGTAAGTTTTGAAGTAAAATTAAATCGATTTTCGCATTTCTCGTCAAAAATATTGTTCGTATTTTCAAAGCTGCATATTTTCTAAAATAATGGATCGATTTTCAAAAAGTAAGAATCGATGTATAGAGAATTAAAAGCCCTTTCTAATGACCCCCCACTTGACCCCCATTCCCATTTAAAAAAATTTGGGGGATGGCACCCCCACTTAGGGGGTTGAAGATTATGCTATGCTTTTTGCGCTGAAAGTTGTCCCCCTCAGAAGCAAACTTTACCTGTTTTTGGATTTTGCCGAAAAGTTCATTACTACCCTGTAATGCCTTGCGGTACGTTTTCGATGGGCTACCCTGTATAATGAAACCGTAATTGATTAATTAAAATAACTGTTGTTGTGTACGTCATATCCTTATTGCTTACCTCAGGTTCAGATAATTGGGTGTGTATATTTTTGGAACCGTTTAATTTTCTGTTTTTACTATTGTTTTACGCTGTAGCGTTCCCTTTAAAAAACATAGTTATTATACTTACCGGAAAGTGAAATTAATTCCAAATGCTAAGGATAAATTATGATCATCTATGATTCATTACGTCTTTACATGCATATATTGTCTTAATCGTTTACTTATTAATTCCAATGCTGAATAATTTTAGATTAAACATGCATTGAAGCATGGTTAACGACCATCATAAATTTCCAAGGATAATCATTAGGTATTTTTTTTTAATTTTTCGATTGTTTAAATTCTAATAGTTCTGTACATTCAGTACAGTGTTCATAATTATTTCAGTATTAAAATACACTCTTTAAATTAAGTGCTTGCGCCTCATTACTCACGTTGTTGTTGTTGAAGATTAAAAACCTGGTAAACTACCAAGAAAGTTCTAACTTTCTGAAATATGATTAAACAAAAAAAATTGGCAAATTAATTTCCGAGATATTTGTTGCAATAATGTTTTTATGTGGAACGCCCTATGTATTATTTAGAACATATTTTCAGGATTTCAATGATATGATATATGAAAATTAATATATTTCTTTTTTTTTCTTTATTTTTTTGCATATTTTTTTAGAAGTTTAAAAAATTAATGAAATAATGCATCTTTTTTTTAACACTGTGGTCAAAGCGCCGAACATTAAAAAAATTTCTAAAAAAGTAGGAATTGTTTGCATAAATACAGTTGGTTTTTTTCTCAAAATATATATTTTTTTCAGCCATATCATTTTAAACCGTTTTTCTGATTGCATATTCTGGTGTCTCAGGAGTTTAACAATAATTAATGATCCTGTAGAAAATTACCATGTAAACCAAAACCCACCCAGGAGGATAATAATTATTTTCTACAATATTATTAATTATTATTAATTGCAACTTTGCCCTCTGAAGTTTCTTTTCAGCTTACATTGATCAGATGAGAATTTTGGAAAAAAGTTTAGACTAGATTTGAACTAGCCTTATTAGTTTTTAAAGTAAAATTATTTACCTTTTTATTTAGAAAACCAACATTAGTTGACTAAACTAATGAAAAAAATTAAAGGGTCAAAATAATTTTCGAAATTTTTCCGTGATTTTTGACAAACTGTATTTAGGTGAAAAATGATCGTATCGAGAATTAAAAAAAAAACATTTTGAAGCTCTAAGATTCTAGTTTTTAGATCTTTAGGTATAATTTTTTTAGGAGTTACGGTTATCATGCAATTCTAAGAAATAGAGAGGCAAAAAAATTTCACAATCCACGGACTTGGAAAATTTGTTTTCAACTAGTCATTGCATGGACCAGATAGCTTGTTTATTCAGCTTCAATTTCCTTCTTAAATTTCGATACGACCATTTTTCATCGAAATATCGGATTTTTAATGGAAAAGGATCCTTTTGTCTTCAATCATCGATATCTCGGCAACAAATGGTCGTACGGAGAATTGAAGGGCAGTTTCGAAAACTGGAATAAATTTGCTATAACATGCTGCCGCAACTTTTCGGATTTTTTTTTTTCATCTTTTACACGAATTTTAAAAAACAAGAGAAAAACAGTAATTTATGGTTTTTTAGAAAATTGACGGCTAAATTAGAAATATTGATGAAATGACTAATGTTAAACATGATTTCAAGTTTCATCTCGATCTAGCGAATCGTTTCTTTGTTTCAAACAGTCAAACTTTTGAAAAAAATGAAAGGGTCACGTTTTTTGAGCTTAAACACTTTATAATCATGATTTAAATGGAAAAAAAAATGTTTGAGGTTTTTCTCACATTTTTAGCGCAATTAACGTTTAAATTGACGAAAAAAAAATTTGGAAAATTTTTTTAATTTTTGAATTTTTTTTGCTTTTTTAGAAAACCTTCCAGACTTGAAAAAAACTAAATCCAATTGTTTCCAGCACGATTCTGCTTTTCCGTACTATGCCTCTGTTTATCAACTTTTAATTAAATTAAAATTAAAGTTGGTGATCAAAACCAGATTTCGACCTCGATTCATACCGTTTTTTTGAGACAAGTTTCTAATTAATTTTTGTGCAGTCTGTTTTGTGCAGTCTGTATTCACTTAAAAACAGTTTTTTCCAAAACTACCCTTTTTCTGCTCTGAAAATTAAAAGTCCGATATTTCGATGAAAAATTGTCGTGTCGAAATTAAAAAAAAAGGAAATTGAAGCTGAATAAACAAGCTATCTGGTCCATGCAATGAATTAGCTGAAAAAATTGTTTCCAAGGTACCCGTAACTCCTAAAAAATTTGACTGGAAGATCTAAAAACTAGAATCTTAGAGCTTCAAAATGTTTTTTTTTTAATTTACGACCATTTTTCACCTAAATATTAGAATTTCAGAAATTCTTTTGACCCTTTAATTTTTTGCATTAGTTTATATATACGATATACAGGGTGTTAAAAAAAGAGTGTAAAATATTTAAGGAGGTATATAGTATGAACCAAAATAAGCAGAAAAGTCTACAATAAACATGGGTCCGCAAAGTAACGGTTGCAGAGATATGGAATGTTTTATGTTTTTTAGCCCCTTTTTTATTTTGCAAAAACGTTGTGTATTTTCTTATAATAGTTGGTTGATGTTTAGTGAAATAAACAGTACGTATTTGATAGTTGTTCTCAGTTCACAAGTTTTCTTTCGCTATGGCTGGTTACTCTAACGCAGAATTAACAGACATGCATTTCATATATGGTTGTGCTAATGGGAACGCCACCGAAGCGCGACGTCTTTATGTTGACGCTTATCCAAATCGCCAGATTCCTTCACAACGCATGTTTGGAAGAATTCACCAAAGATTGCGTGATACCGGTTCCTTGAGCAAACAGTGCCATTTATCCTTAAGACCAAGGTCGGTATCCACTCCTAGAGCAGAAGAAGAAATTCTAGCACTGGTAGAGCAGAATCCAGGTACCAGTGTGCGGAGAATATCAGCCGAGGTAGGAATTAGTGGTCCTCTTGTTTGGAGAATCCTTCACGAGCAACTGCTTTATCCATACCATGTGCAACGAGTAAATCCAATAAATGATATCAAGCACGTTTGGTTTTTTGCCGCTGGTTTCTACGTCATGATGCTGAAGATTCTCGTTTTCTTGCAAACATTCTTTTTACTGATGAGATCGGGTTCACAAGAAATGGAGTGTTTAATTTTCACAATACGCATATTTGGGCCGACGAAAATCCTCATGCTCTAATAGAATCTGGACATCAGGCACGTTTTTCATTAAACATTTGGATGGGTATTGTAGGTGACAGGTTTCTAGGTCCTGTTGTTTTACCAAACCGATTAACAGGCGCTGCTTACCTCAACTTTCTGCAGAACACACTGTATGAGTTATTGGAAGACATTCCTTTGAATCATAGGCAACAAATGTGGTTCCGGCATGATGGTGCTCCAGCTCGTTTTTCCATGGCCGTTAGAGAGCATTTACACCAAACTTTTCCACATAGATGGGTAGGAAGGGCCGGACCTGTTTTATGGCCTCCAAGATCGCCTGATCTGAACCCTCTAGATTTCTTTGTTTGGGGATATTTGAAGACATTAGTGTATGGTACTCCTGTAAATAGCCTGGAAGAGCTGCAGCTACAGATTAATCAAAAGTGTCAATAAATCCAAACCAAGGAGGGTGTTTTCGAAAGAGTTCGAATATCGTTGAGACGAAGATGTCGTGCCTGCTTGGAAATGGACGGAGGGCACTTTGAACATCTTCTGTAACTTTGTTTTTTGTTTGTTAAAAGCTTCCTTTGTCGGTTTATTCCTAATAAAATAAAATGTTTGAAAAACGAATAGTGGTCCATATCTCCGCAATCATTACTTTGCGGACCCATGTTTAATAAGACTTCTGCTTATTTTGGTTCATACTATTACCTCCTGAAATATTTTACACTCTTTTTTTAACACTCTGTACATCCAAAAATAGTGGTAATAAAATACATGTCCCTGATCAAAACTAAGTAGGTCAAAATGGTGTATTACTTTTATAGTATCAATGAAAAATACCGATATTTCGCAGTGTTATGTTTCCTTTGGAAAAAAATACTAAAAAGTGTTTTTATAATAATGCCTGTTCTAAATAAATAAAGGCCATTCTTTTAACTCTCTTTTAAAGAGGCAATTTTATGAACCTCACGACGTTCTGATTTGAACCCCATGTAATTCTTATGGTTATCTTGACTATGTGCAGAATCACTAAATAAATCAGAATATTGTGCAAATTAACAAAGCAGATATATAATATGTATGCAGGGTGTTCCGAAATTAAAGAGCAATATTTCTACAGGGTGTTCTATGTCGATTCTCTGCCAAATTCTTGGTGAATGTATTGGAACGAAAATTAGTAAATATGAGAGAGATTCCAGCCTTTCATTTAAAAAAGAATCGTATGTAAAATTGTAGCTATGCTATATATACTATTTGAGATATAATCGCACCTTAAAATTTCTTTATATTTTCTCAAAACTTTAAACTTATCCCAAACTCCATTTTTTTTGCAGAATCTCCAAGTGCCAACATTTCGAAGACAACGTCACGCTCCACCACGAGTTCGTGTCCGTAAAATGTACGGACACTAGCAGCAAGAAACACAAAGTCTACGAGAACGCCTACGCCTCTATAACAGTAAAAGAGGACGTTCAGAAAAAACTGGACAACTTTGACAATACCACGAAGCAACTGAGCGTGCTCATCGTAGGGATCGACAGCATATCGCGACTGAATTTCATAAGAACCCTGCCGAACACCTACAAGTACGTCGAGGATAACGGATGGCAACCCCTGAAAGGATACAACAAAATGGGCGACAACACCTTCCCCAACGTAATGGCGGTGCTGACAGGTTTCGACGAGTCGCACGCCTTCAAGGTGTGCAACCCTAGGGAAGTGGGTCAGTTGGATGCTTGTCCGATGCTGTGGTACGATTACAAGAAGTTGGGGTATGTCACGGGCTACGCTGAGGACGAAGGCTCTATAAATACCTTCAATTTTCGGAAGAAGGGTTTCAAGGACCCACCCGTCGATTACTACTTTAGACCCTATATACTGGCGACGGAGACGCTGGCTAAGGTGAGGAAAGACGAGATGACTTACTGTACTGGTCCAGAAACCGCTGGTGAGAGGATCCTCGACGTTGCCAAGGAGTTCGCTATAACCTTCAAGGATTACCCCAGTTTCGGATTGTTCTGGATGAACTCTTTCAGCCATAACAAGCTAAACTCGCCGACTGGAATGGACAATAAAATTAGGAGTTTCTTGAACGATCTAGACAACAGCGGGGTTACAGAGAATAGTATAGTTATATTTTTAAGCGACCACGGTATAAGATTTGGTGATATAAGACTGACTGAGACGGGTTGGCTGGAGGAAAGGCTGCCCTTCATCTACGTATCATTCCCTAAGTGGTTTAAAGAGAAATTCCCCATTGAGTATCGCAATTTCCAGAAGAACTTCAACCGGTTGACATCTCCTTACGATCTACATATGACCTTGAAACATATCCTGGTTTTATCAGGGCACAACTTTACAATGACTCCTAGCCAAGGGTGTCCCAAATGTAGGACTCTCTTCGAAGAAGCCGACCAGGAGAGATCCTGTGAAGACGCTGGCATAGAACAGCACTGGTGCACCTGTGCCGGGTACACCGGAACAAATTTAGACAAGGAAGTAGAAAATAAGGTAAAAAATTACGTATTGGATCAAATCCACGATATAATCCGTTCGAGGAATAGTGAACATCTGTGTGCCAAATATTCGGTAGAGAAAATTATTAGTAGTAGTCTGTCTCATCAATTTTTTTATAAGAACGATACTTATTTACTCGTGAAATTCCAGACCAAGCCCAAGGCTGTCTACGAAACTACCATCGGTTTCAAGGGAAACATTAGTAGCAACAAGTATTCTCTTTCTGGTGATATAAGTAGACTGGATAGCTATAGTGAACGTAGTAAATGTGTTGGCGATGCATATCTGAAGAAGTATTGCTACTGCCGTTCAAACGGGAGTCGCGTTTAATATATAGAACAAGTGCCCTTATTTTAAGATAATATAAAGACTCACTCAAATTTATTTTGTATTATTTTACAGTTTTGCGGTGGTTTAAATAACTATTATAAGCGTTCTAGTCAATAATATAATAATAAATTAATCTACCTCATCTCCCAAAATTTATTCATCCAAACCAAGTGCAACAGGAGTCGTCATTTTATTTTATCTACTCGATAAAGATATTTATTTCATTTTCACGAGTTTCATTAATGAAAAAAACACCAGAATAAAGACAATAAGTATATTATTTATTTATTTATTATGTTAATTAAAATTTAAAATAATTACACAACACAAACAATATCATCCGGCATTTTTGAATCTGGTTATGTTTTCTAACGTAATATTTCACCTTGATTCCGAATTTGGGAGTAAAAGTGCTCCATCAAGTCAGAACTTTGAGATATCCAAACCTAAAAGTTGCAGACCTAAAAGAAGCATTTTGACATATTTTTGAAACTATGTTACATCTACTAATATAATATTTTTCTCTCAATACTGTATACATTAACTTAAAGTATTTCGGGTCCCCTCTAATTCCAATTTGGATTTCTTTCCATACGACTTTTTTTTCCAAGATATCACCAATTAAGTTTGAATTGATTCCAGTATTTAATCAATTATGTTCAGTTGTCAGCTAAAATACACGCAATATGCTTTAACTAGTACATTTATTGTTGAATCGTGAGAAGGAACTCACGTTAATCAAGCACTTTTAATCTTGAAAAGCGAGAATACTCAACGTTAATTAAGCACCCAAATCGTGAGTGTCGATGGAACTCACGTTAATCAAGCACTTCATTCGTGAGAGACGCGATGACTATTAATCTACTACTGTTAATCAAGCGTTTTATTTGTGGAGGTGTAGAAACTCGCATTAATCAAGCACTGCGAAACATGAGAGGTGAGGGGACTCACTTTAATCAAGCATCTCTAATCATGAGAGATGCGAGGGCTCACGTTAATCAAGCACTCCTAATCTTGAGAGTAGAGAAGATAGAACGTTAATAAAGTGCTGCAAATCCATAGTCATAGGCACTCACGTTAATCAAGCACTTTATTCGTGTGAGGCGCGAGCACTCACTTTAATCAAGCACTTTAATATTGTGAGGGTTGTAGAGACTCGCATTAATCAAGCTCTCCGAATCATGAGAGGTGAGGGGACTCGCATTAATCAAGTATCCTAAATTGTAAGAGGCGAGAGGACTCACATTAAACATTAATCAAGCACTTTGTGAGAAGCGTGGAGACTCACATTAGTCAAGCGCACTAAAACGGTACATGTATTTTGTTTTTTCTAATCCAAATCTGATACAGCAATTCTGCTGACAATTTAATTTATATGTAAATAATTACATAGCTAAACCAGACTATAGAATTCACTTGGATTTGAAGGCAAGTTTTAAGCTTTTTTAGTTAAAATGTATAAAATGTCTGTTTTGGTTTCATACTTTTAATTGTAAATATATGGATTTACAGTTAATGAGAGATTTTCAATCTTAGAATAAATGCGTCAATTAGAAAGTTTTGCATATATTTTAGTAATCATCTTCAGATAATAATTGACTGCACAATAAAATCAATTAAACTTTAATTGGCGATATCTTGGGAGACAAAAGAAGAAGAGAATTAATGTGTGTTAAACAAAAACATAAATTTAAGTTTCTTATTATAAAATAAAGCAAAATAATCTTAAAAACATGTCAAAATGACGTTTATGCACTTTCCTGTTTGAATATCTCAAAACACTGTCGTGATGGAATAATTTAATTCCATATTTTAATGCAACGGGAAAGAATACGTAGGAAGACAGTATCGGACTCAAAAAAATCAAACCTTTCGATGTGTAGACCTGTGTTATTGTTACAGTTGTTAATGAAAATAAATATAAAAGACTTGAAATTAAAAGAACAATACTCTATTTTTCTCTCAATTAGCAACTGAATAAATATAATCAAATTTAATTCCCTATTTTTTGGAGATCTTATAAGTGAAACATTAGGTACTAAATCATAAACACAAATTATAGCAGAGAAATATCATCAGTTGAAAAGCTCTTTTTAAGTTCACATTTCCGAGCTTTAACCACGCTGATATTGATATTTTCCTGCGAATAAAAAATTAATTCGGAGTCTGAAAAATATCGCACCAGGTTCTCTTCCGAAAAGCTCATCATCTTTCTAGCCTGTTTTATAAGATTAACTGATTTACAATATCTCAGGCTTTTCCTGATTTCACTAAAAATATGCGAAGGATATTTCGGCATTGTCTCGAGATATTTTGCAGCTTTCTCCTCAAAGCTGGTGGTTTTGAAATGAACTCGACAACTTGCATCAGTGGGCTCGAGAGTGGTATTAGAGGAACCTGCAATAATAATTACGAGTAGATTAGTGTACAGGGTGATGGAGAGAAAATTGCCTTCCCCTTTTTCTTCGTCATTGTTAGAGATACGAAAAAAGTAAAAAATAAGAGTTATAGGGATTTTTTTTTCATACCAGACAACTGTATTCGGGATGTAACACTAGGTAACTTTTTTTTTATAGGGACATGCAATGGAAAAGGTCGCCAAAAGAACTATTTCAAAATATACGCGATTCTTAAATTTAAAGATTTTTGAGGTATTTTCATGTAGATGGCATAGAGAAGCGAATTTGTAACAGCCTGTATAGTCATTGATCCTTTGATCCATAATAATTATAAAAAGGAGGTCAATTTTCACGTGGCTGTTCTGTGTATAATTAAAATATTACTCAGGTGTTGTCAGATTGTGATAATTTTCTTTGTGATATATTAAAAAAAAATTATACTAATTCATACCTTCTGCTGGATTATCTAAAACATTTTTTGCAAAATTGCGACTTGCTAAATCTTCGTAAACTGGTGGAGGCGAATCTGGAATTTTTATAGATCCAGGTGAGAAAATTTTACTGGTACCAGCGAGAGATGGAACTGAATCCGCATTTGATGAATTCGAATGACTTTTAGATGCCGTTATGTTCGATAAACTTTCTTCGTTTTTTGTTGAACCATTTTGAGAAACACTGGAACTGTAAATTTATGTCTATAAATTAAATATGCTTAATGCTGTACCTTCTGTTGTGAATTCTGACGATTCCAATTGTTTTAACATATTTTAATTTAAGCACGTCTTCGTAATCTGGGGGTGCTTCATAGTCTGGAGGATCGTCGGGGACAATTATTTCTTCCTCTACATCCCCAACACCCTCCTCTAAAAAAAGTAATTCACCTCATATAAAATCTAAAAGATTATTATTATTAGTTTCAACTTTTAATTATTCTTTAATTGTATCCGGGAAAGGGCAATCTTATTTAGGTTTAACAAATTTATACAGAGTGAAACAAATGTGTAAATATATTTTTATACGACTGCCTTGCAAAAGGGGGTTTTGCGCACGGAAAACACGCTCTGAAAACGGTATTTTGCACACGGTTATGTCATCTTTGCACACGCGTCTCCAGATTGTGATTTTTGTTTGATGTTGTCACCCAAATTATGCAATGTTTCAAGTTGGCTGAGTTTCATAGCAACCGTCACAGCTCCTTTATTTTGTTGATTAGATACTTCAAAAATTGCTGAATTCCCGAAGTTTGGGTGTGAAAATGTGTGATTCTGAAGAGATTTTACAGAAAGCAAGCGAAATATGTTCGGAACTGCTGCCCACAAAATCCACAAGCAAGTATGAAGCTGAGTTAAGCCGATTTATGGACTGGCGACTAGCCAAAAATGTCCAAACTGTTGAAATAAATTTGAAATAATATTAATTTTAGACTAGTGGTTGTTGATTTTGACAGTTGTTATTGTGACATGTATGCGCTTATAATTAAAAGTAATAAAAAGCGTTGCTTTACCTGCTGAATCATTATTTAATTGCAAAAGGTTATGGGCCCAGACCCCACACGCCTTCTGAATTGTTTGGATATATGGTAAAATTAGATATTTCTTCATCATAAGTTCTTGTACACGGAAAAATGTCGTATCAGTTGCCGCCGATTGAAAAGCTCAAGGGCCGTGAAAACTACGACTCATGGAAATTCGCTGTACAGACGTATTTGGAACATGAAGAACTGTGGGATTCAGTGCTAGGTACAGAAACTGACAATAAAAAAATAATTAAAGCCAGGTCGAAAATTATATTACTTGTTGATCCACTAAATTATGTCCATGTCCAAAGTACAAAAACTGCCAAAGAAGCATGGGATAACTTGGAAGCTGCTTTTCAGGATTCAGGCCTTACAAGACGTGTTGGTTTATTGCGTGTTTTAATAACTACTACGTTGGAAAATAGTAATTCTGTAGAAAAATATGTAAATACAATCATTACCACCGCACATAAATTATCAAGTATAGGTCTGACTGTTAGTGATGAATGGATAGGCACGATTTTGTTAGCAGGTCTTCCAGAAAGTTACAAGCCAATGATAATGGGCATTGAAAGTTCAGGTACTTCAGTGACGGCAGACTCAATCAAAACCAAGTTATTGCAAGACATATCAGTAGTTACGGATCCCGAAAACAAGTCAGTGGCTATGTATGGTGCTGCTAGTTCAAAGTCCATTAAGAACAAGTGGTCTACTCTAAAGAAAAACAAAAAAGGTGTACGTTGTTTTAATTGCAATAGGTATGGACACTTTGCAAGTCAATGTGAAAAGAAGGACAATATGGATAAGAGGTCAAAGCAAGTTGACTCCGCATTATTCTCCGTGTTCTCAGTGCAACATAAAAACAATAATTTGTGGTATTTAGACTCTGGTTGTTCAGCTCATATGACAGGAAATCGAGATGCACTAGAAACTGAAAGAAAGTCTGCGAAATTGACTGTCACCACTGCAAATAATGAAGAAATGTATACAGAATCTATTGGTGATGTCAAGCTTTCTCTGTCAGTTGGAAGTAACAAAATATCAGACATCAAAGTGCACGATGTATATTTTGTCTCAGATTTAAAGGTGAATTTGTTATCTGTTAGCCAAATAGTAAACAAAGGCAACACTATTATTTTCAACTCTGAAGGTGCCAAGATTTATAATTCTGCAAATCAACTTATAGCTACAGCTACTTTAGAAAACAATTTATTTAAATTGGATTTACTTCCAAAGCAAATTAATGTTTCCGCTTGGTTCAGTAATGCAGATAAACAGTGTACTATGTGGCATAAGCGCTTGGCACATGTAAATACAGCTAGTTTAAACAAGTTGAAAAATGGACTTGTATATGGAGTAGACTTTTCAGACAATTTTCAACCGAATTTTGTATGTGAAACTTGTATGCTGGGAAAAAGTCATCGTTTACCATTTCATGCAAGTGAGACTAGATCTTCGCGAGTCTTGGAGCTGGTGCATTCGGATTTATGTGGACCGATGCAAGAGAAATCTCTATCTGGTTCGCAGTATATGCTTACCTTCCTTGACGATTATAGTCATCATACAACCGTCTATTTTTTGAAAAACAAAAGTAAAGTTATAGAATGTTTTAAGATTTATAAAAGTTTTGTTGAAAATCAAACCGGTCAGAAAATAAAATGTCTACGAACCGACAATGGGGGCGAATATTGTGGAGCCGAACTGAAGAATTTACTCGAGACTGCAGGCATACAACATCAGCTTACCTGTCCATATACCCCAGAGCAAAATGGCAAGGCAGAAAGGCTTAATCGAACGATTATAGAGAAGGCTCGATGTCTTCTAATCGAAGCTTGCCTACCAAATGTTTTTTGGGCAGAAGCTGTATACACATCAGTCTATTTAATTAATCGCTTGCCCAGTAAATCTATAGAGAAAACACCAGAAGAATTATGGAATAATAAGAAACCAACCTTAAAGCATGCTAGAATATTTGGATGTAAAGCATATGCACATATAGATGATCAGAAAAGAAAGAAGTTAGATTCTAAGGCACTTTCTTGTATCTTTGTAGGTTACAGTTTAGAGTCAAAGGCATACAGGCTATACGATCCAAACAGAAATATAGTGTTTGTCTCTCGAAACGTTCAATTTGCCGAAAATGAGAAAGGATGTACTCTATTAGAGGAATCAACTCATGAATCAGATAAACATTTTATTGATTTATCTGAC